GACAACTGATCCAAGCGAAGCCAGAGGTTACTTTCTGCCAAGTGTATTTTCCACTAGGCCCATACAATGGCCAAGAGGACATGGAAACCAAGAGCTCCCAGCTCCATTTCAGAAGGTGACTCACAGCGCCAAGGAAAGTCCACCCCAATTCAAATCTTACCACACCAATGCTTTCAAATGAAAACATAGCTGTTCCAAAGAAGAGAGGGTAGGTCTTCCAACTTGCTACCAGTGGCAACCTGCCGGGGTCTGGAATTCCCTACAGGAGAGAAAAATGGGATAAGGTATTCACTCTCAAAGCACATTTGAGGTCCTTTAAGAGGGGGGTTGATGAATTCATGCATTTGAATTATGGTGTTGGCAAAGAATATTGAATATACCATGGACTGCTAGAAGAATGAACAAATCTGTCTTGGAAGAAGTACAGCCAGAATGCTCCTTAGAAGGGAGGATGGCAAGACTTCATCTCACATAATTTGGACATGTTATCAGGAGGGACCAATCCCTGGAGAAGGACATTATGCTTGGTAGAGAGTCAGCAAAAAAGAGGAAGACCCTCAACAAGATGGATTGACACAGTGGCTGCAACAATAGCTCATATATAACAACAATTGTGAAGATGACGCAGGACCAGGCAGTGTTTATCATTCTGTTGTACACAGGGTCGTTATGAGTCAGAATCGACTTGACAGCACCTAATAACAACAACAAGAGAGGGATAACTCTGTGAGTAGACTTGAATCTTGCCAAGAAGTTTAGGAAACTTCAGAGAGAAGTAGGCAAGGATCAAAGCTGCTGTTAACACTGCACAAAATCGAAGAGCCAGAGGACAGCAACTTAGAGGAAGTGTTAGAGTATTGATGGATAGTACCTTATGGCGGGAGTTTGGTTTATCAGATACCCCCAAAAAGAAAAAAAAAAAAATCTTACGCTTCATAAATTAATCCCACCCTAAAGCGCCCAAGTACACTTTTGAATGGAGAGTGTTCATGGGTGTAAGAAATTACTGTGACTATAGTTATAGTGATATTCTAAGGAGCCCAAAGAAATTACTTAAAAAAGAAAGTCCTCTTTTTTTCTTCAATGAGCCATAAGTTGAAGAGGACAAAAGTATCTGGAGTAAACATTTTATATATCCTGCACCCTAGAATGTGCAAATTATTGCAGAACCATTCCAAAGGGCAACCACAATCCAAAATTGAACCAGAGGTAGTTATTAGGAAATTCAATTTTGCAGAAGTCATCTCTGCTGCCTAAAGAGTATACGACTGACATGTTATTCTGAAATATGACTAATTCATTATTTTTACTAAATTCCATGGACAGTGTAATTTTTTTTTTCTTATGGCTTCTGAAAGCGAAAATATCTGAAAGGTGTTAGGTACACCAAAGGGCTTCTGGGGTTTAAATTTTGATGTAGCCTTGTCCTTTATAAAAGAAAAATCAGAAAGTATAGACAAGTAGGATGTTGAGGGATAATCAATATCCAAAACTCACCTTGTCAAAGACATTTTAACTAACATCATGATAGATTTACTGTGATCTTTTTGAGACTATTTAAACCTTGCTCGTGGAGAACGAAGAGAACTTGAAGCACTTACTGATGAAGATCAAAGACTACATACAGCCTTCAGTATGGATTACACCGTGACATAAAGAAAACAAAAATCCTCACAACTGGACCAATGAATAACATCATGATAAACGGAAAAAAGATTGAAGTTGTCAAGGATTTCATTTTACTTGGATCCACAATCAACGCCCATGAAGCAGCAGTCAAGAAATCCAACTACGCATTGCATTGGGCAAATCTGCTGCAAAAAACCTCTTTAAGGTATTGAAAAGCAAAGATGTCTCTTTAAGGACTAAGATGTGCCTGACCCAAGCCATGGTGTTTTCAGTTGCCTCATATGCAAGTGAAAGCTGGGCAATGAATAAGGAAGAACTGATGCCTTTGACTTATGGTGTTGACCAAAAAAAAATAAACCTGTCTTGGAAGAAGTACAACCAGAATGCTCCTTAGAAGCAAGGATGGTAAGACTGCGTCTCACATACTTTGGACATGTTATTAGGAGGGACCAGTCCCTGGAGAAGGACATCATGCTTGGTAAAGTAGA